TCGCTGTCTTTCTGTGTCAGATAAATAAAATGTTTAAAAAAAAAAAGAGAAAAGGTATGTGATCTCAAACATGGCTTTATCTTCCTAAGGAATTAGGAAGATTTCAAAATTTGCTTTATATTTACTTGATTTTCTCATTATATGCTATCTTTTAACATCCTAATCCCCAGATCAGATATGACTATATATATTGTATAGTCAAATAGCATTTTCTGTGAGGGCTGTACAACAGCGTGGATATTTTGAGTAAATGCTTCAGAGAGAGATTTGTGGCACAGAAAAGTCTGTTTCTTTTAAGATTCAGCCAGTGACCCAGGGCCAATCACACTATTTCTATTTCAGTTTCCTCCACGGTGAAAGTGAGTGTCAGACTGGATAGTGGGTGTCTAAAGTCCCTTCATGCTCTAACTTGTGAAATAGATTGCTGTGCCAAAAGCAAGATGGCGAAAGGAAGGCCTGACATTTAGAACAAACTGGAAGTTTGCTTCCCTGCCACTGACTTCTGAAAGACTAAAGTTCATTTCCATAGTGTGAGAGTTCCAGGGAGAGAGAATTTGATCTGAGCCAAGGATATCAGACAATGGTTCTTAAATCTTCTGTCTTTTCTGATGGTGGCAGAGAGTGAACCTACACCTAGTCCAAGGGTCTGGGGACCTAGTCCAAAGCCTTAAAAGCATGAAAGCTTTTTGAAATCTGATGTTTTATCTTAAAAAATTCTTGGAAATTTTGCCTTCCCTGTAATGTATATATTTTTTTCATTAAAAAGGCTCCCCTCTAAACTATTGAGTAAAATGAACTCTTTAAGAAGATGCGCCATGTTTATTTATCCTATTTGTTTGCATACCCTTTGCCATACTACCATATGGGTAGATGGAAGTGGGGAAGGGGAGTACACATATGCTGAAGTATCTGTGTTCCAGACTTTGTGTGGTTGGAGCTAAAATGGGTATCTTCTCAGGCATATCTGGTTGATAGGAAAGAGAGCCTACTTGCTGTAGACAGGTATATCTGAGCATCTTGGTAGTAAAATGGAAAACATTATTGCTTTAGGATCAGATCCGAGTTTAGACTCACCTCTGGCATTTTCTGAACTGTAATACTGTTTCATTGTGTGTAAAGTAGGAATAATAATACTTGTCTTGGAGAGTGAAATTTATTACACTGTCCCATGTTTTGCTTTGACATGATAGGCACTCAGGTGCTAGCTATTATATCTTGGTTACTGGTGAATTGGCACATGCTCTTAAAATTTTGCATTCATGGGAGCACTAGATAAGATCTAGTAGCCACTTATGAATATTTAGTTTGATGTATGGTCTTTGCCTAAAAATCATGTTTATGAAACTTGCACATCAGCTTTGACGTCTTAACTATATATATGTATACACACACACGCACACGTATATATACACACACATATACACACACACACATATCATATTGCTTTTACAGATGAAACACATAAATCAAAATTAACCAAAATGTTAGTAGTGAAATACTTAGATCATTTTTGGTAACAATATCTTTACAATGGTTGGTATATCAGACTATGGATGTTCTCTAACATCAAAGCAGTGTTAATAAATAATAACAGCAGTCTAATGGTTATTACTATTTATGGTAATTGTGTTCATAAAACTATATTTTCTGCAGTGGCTAAGCCTCTTTTTCTGAGCTATTAGCTTCATTCTCTTTGTGTGGGTTTGAATTAGGGCTCTGAAGTGATGCATTGTCACTCCTTCCTTCTTTTATGTGTACTGTTAACTTTGTCCAAAGAGCACAAAGAAATTAGAAATAATCTTATCTGCAAACAGTATTGAAATCTGTTTAACTTGTTCTTACATTTTTCTCCTGGCATTGGAGTTTAGATTCTAGATGAAGATTTTGTTCATGGGGCGCCTGGGTGGCTCAGTTGGTTAAGCGACTGCCTTCGGCTCAGGTCATGATCCTGGAGTCCCGGGATCGAGTCCCGCATCGGGCTCCCTGCTGAGCAGGGAGTCTGCTTCTCCCTCTGACCCTCTTCCCTCTCGTGCTCTCTCTCTCTCATTCTCTCTCTCTCAAATAAATAAATAAAATATTAAAAAAAAAAAGATTTTGTTCATGAAAATTGGGAAAATATACTAAAGCAAACTTAAAGATGTTTTGCTTAGTGAACTGGAACTGAAGTAGTATATAACTTAAAATTAAAATAAAAAAGCTTTAATTAATTTTCACTTAACATTTAATTAGAGACCATTAATTGAAATTTCTAGTGACAGTGAAAGTAACATAGTTTTTTTTTTTCAGGGTTTCTTTAGTTCCTTTTTTTTTTTTTTTTTTTTAAGTAGGCTCTATGCCCAGTGTGGAGCCCAAGATGGAGCTTAAACTCAAGACCCTGAGATCAAGACCTGAGTTGAGATCAGGAGTCAGACTCTTAATTGAGTGAGCCACCCAGGTGCCCCTCAGGGTTTCTTACATCTCTAATTTAAACCAAATGATGAACAAAAATTTTCTGAATGAGATTATTGTAAATGAAATACCACAAACAAGTCATTATTTGTCAGAGTTCACTGTGACAACCCAAACAGTACCCTTCACTGAAACAACCCAAACAGTACTCTTCACAGAATTAATAATGCAAAAATAATGAAAAGTAGCCTCATTTAAAAGAATAATCTTAAATTGTTCATTCCTTTTGAACCAGATTGCAAAACACTACATTAACATAAAGTAGAAATTGTTATTTTGATGAACCTTTTTTTTTAAGATTTTATTTATTTATTTGACAGGGAGAGACAAAGCAAGAGAAGGAACACAAGCAGGGGGAGTGGGAGAGGGAGAAGCAGGCTTCCCGCTGAGCAGGGAGCCCCATGAGGGGCTGGATCCCAGGACCCTGGGATCACGACCTGAGCCGAAGGCAGACGCTTAACGACTGAGCCACCCAGGAGCCCGTATTTTGATGAACCTTAAGCATAAGACTTGTATATATTACTGCATTTTTTGAAATGGATACCTTTGTGTTTAAGAATGTTTCATGTTTTTCTTTTCATAACTAAAATTAATATAAAAAAAATAATTATAGATTTCTCATGGTGGAGAAAAGAAATCACTCCAGAATACAAATTTCCATACGTGTTTAAAGACTTTGAGCTTCTTTAATTTGCATAATTTGAATAGCAGAGACTTGGTTTTGGCTAGGCTTTTGGAGGCTAAATAATTAGCCAATACTAGTAGATTCTTATGTCAACGTTAACTTAAAAAAATCATTATATAGGCACTATGAAATAATGGAAAGAATATGAAACCCAAATTCAGAAGAGTTAGGTTCAAATTCTGCCTCTTAATTATTTGTTCTTTGACAAAGATTTAAATATCCTGAGCTGCTTTTCCTTACGTCTACTTACATAGTAATAATACCTGCTTTGCCTGTTTCACATGTTTGCTATGAAAATCCAATGAGATAACACAAATAAAAGAAGCATTTAAACAGTAAGATGAGGGGCATCTGGCTGGTTCATTTGGTAGAGCATGCAGCTCTTGATCTTGGGGTTGTAAGTTCAAGCCCCATGTTGGGTGTAGAGATTACTTAAAAATAAAATCTAAAAAAAAAAATAAATAGTAGGGTGAAATTGGTCTAAACAAATAATTCTATATACCTCCATTGTAAGTGAGGTTCAAGCTGTAGTGAACACAGCAGTTAGCTTGAGTTAGCACAGCGGCAGAGCAAGACCAAATACAGAGGAAAAACCCTGACTCTAGTAGAATGCTCGCTCTACTTGTTTTTGAAAAAACGTATTGAATAGGCTCCATGAACAGTTAGTCGTACTACACGAGCAGTAGGATGAAAAGTAAACACATATAAAACTGAGTACAATTCTAGAATGTTAGAACTAGCAAGCATCTGGGATTTTCTAGCCAAGTCCTCTTATTTTACAGGTGAAGAAACTAAGACAGGGTTATCCAATAAGCTTTGTAGTGGCAAACTAAGATACATTTCTCAGGGTGGTTAAAGAGATATAGGCTTTGAAATTAGTTGTATAAAGGTGTGAAATCACAATTTTACCACTGACTTAGAATGTAGCTTCAGGCAATGTAACCTAAGGCTATTTCTTTATCTGTAAATTGGGGCTTAGTATTAATCTATTGGATTGTTTGTAGTAAAGGAGATATGCGTATATAAAATGCTTAGCACACTTATGAACATGATGTACACCTAATAAGTGGAGCCTCTAATATTACTATTATTTTTAGTTATTGCACAGAATCTTTCAGAACATTATTCACTCCCTGTGCTTAATCTGTTAAAAAAAAAAAATGGCTAATGGCCAAGCTCTCTTTCACTGAAACAACCCAAACAGTACTCTTCATGTGTCCCCATTGTGCATGTACAAGTATGAGGAAATTCCTTGTGTCACACTATTGAAGCCTATTCTAAACAGATTAAAAACATTAAAAAGTTTAAAAATAAAAGTTGGAAGATCTAATATAAATGAGCATCTGTTTGTTGCCTAAGTTATAATTTAATAAAGAACTGAAATGGCTTAATGTGCTTAAGAAGTATGACTGATGGAGAAGAGCGTGTGACTCCTGATCTAAGGGTTGTGAGTTTGAGTCCTACGTTCAGTGTGCAGATTACTTAAATAAATAAATAAACTAACTAACTTAAAAAAAAAAGTATGACTGATAGATCTTATGGGATATGAAAATCATCAGTCACCCTTAGCACTTTCCTTGAAGAAAATGACACAACAGGCTTGTTTCATTCAACCCACAAATGTCTATTTTCCTTTTCTTTTTCCTTGTTAAATATCCCTGTCTATTTTGGTCTATGTAATAATATGTTCAACAGAGGCAGGACTGTCTTGTTCATCTAGTATGCTTGGTATGTTGCCTTGAACATGATAGGCACCTAAGTGTTGATCTTTTAACAGATTTAGTGGAAGAAAAGTTGTATACAAAATTAAGTATCCATGCAGATATGTCATTTCAAAGGTTATAGATGTTAACATTTTTAATTTCAGATTTCCTTTTTTTCTGGGGAGCTGTATTTTTGATAACAACAACTCTAGTTGCCCTTCTGAAAAAAGAAAACAAAGAAGTATCAGTAGGAAAAGAAGAAACCCAAGGGATCACAGATACTTACAAGTTGCTTTTTGCAATTATAAAAATGCCAGCAGTTCTGACATTTTGCCTTCTGATTCTAACTGCAAAGGTAAGATATTTATAAAGCAAATGTACTACCCTGGTACAATTACCAGTATCATGGAATACTTCCATTGCCTTTTCATATCACAAGTTCCTTTCCACTACTATTAGAATGTAACAATAAAAAACGGTATTTTCTGTTTATTAAGTTTGTTTTAAAAGATGTGATAATTTCAAAGTAACCAAAACGTCTTGGAATCTTGAAAAGAATTAAGCACATTTGAAGAACTTCTAATAAATGTGAAATTTTACTTAATGGATGATATTAATGCTTGGGATGGAAATGAATGCCTTGAACAGCTCTGTACTGTTATAATGAGTGTACATTTAATGTCAGAGGTATTATAATTATTTACTTAGTGATTTACAAACATACAGAAATATTTAAGTTTTAGAAGTCTATTTAAAAGTCAGTTGACTTATTTTTTTTAATGTTGGAAGGAAATATACCATAAATAAATGGGGATTTTGGTAACTTTTATTTTATTCTTTATGTTTTCTGTATTAAGATGTCCTAATTAAAAAAAAAAAGTCCTAATTCTATAGTCCAAAAACATTTCAAAGATATTATGCTAGCAGAAAGGTAAGTTTATTTCAGTACAGTAAGAGATTGCTAGTGTTGGAATTAGTATTCCTAAAATCTAAAATCCAGGGGTGCCCAGGTGGCTCAGTGGGTTAAGTGTCTGCCTTCAGCTCAGGTCATGATCCCAGTGTCCGCATTGGGCTCCGTGCTCAGCAGGGAGCCTGCTCCTCCCTCTCCCTCTGCCTTTCTGCCTACTTGTGATCTCTCTCTCTCTCTCAAATAAATAAATAAAATCTTTTTAAAAAAATCTAAAATCCGTTATAGGAGCTTCATATTATATCTCTAAAGCTATCTTTATAAATACTTTACAGCTATCTTTACCCTGAAGTAAAAATTGGTAAAAATTAGAGCCTCATTGTTTTTGAAATAGTGAATTTTTTTCCTCTCTAATGATAGGGTTACATTTTAAGGAAACATTGGGAAGGTTAAAGTTTAGAAACTTAAGATTCAACTTTAGGAAATAATGAAAGGTTCAAAGAAGATAGTAATATTCTCTAATTACATCATTTAGAGGTAATCATTGGTAACACTTTTGGTATATTTCCTTCCAGCCTTCTTTTTCCCCTTTGTGTGTGCATGTTACATGTGTATGAGTGTGTGTATACACACTTTATATATATAAATGTAATTAATAAGTTATAGTCAACAAATTAATATTAATACTATATATTTATATACATACAGATATGCATGTGAATAAAAGTGGAATTGGATCATACCATATATAATTTTAAACTCATTTTTGTCTTACTACTCCATATTCCTTATTATTAAATAATTTCTGGAAACATACTTTTTAGGCTCCGTCAGTTAAGTGCTGCTTTCACCTCAGGTCTCCATCTCAGGGTCGTGAGTTCAAGTCCCACATTGGGCCCCATACTGGGAGTGGAGCCTACTTAAAAAAGAAAAGATACTTTAATAGCTATATAATTGTCACAGTGTATAGATTTGCTATAATTTACTCATTTTTCTGTTGTATATTTGCTTACATTTTTTAATTATAAAACTGCACTAGTGAATATTTTTGTGTATTTCCTTTCAGTAGATTCTTAAATAGGCAATTAGTGGGTCAGTGAATATGATTGCCAAATTGCTTTTTAAAAGATTACAATTATACTGTTGATAGCAATGTATAAGGAGGTGCTTCAGTTACAGAATCTAGAATCTTGTGTTCCCCTTTTAAAGTAAACCTTGCCAAAAGTAACATCTCTCCTAACTTTTAATGTCATAGATTAGTTTTCTCTACTTTTGAGTCTTATAATAAATGGAATATCCAGTATGCATTTTTATGTCTGGCTCTTCTATTCTTTCACTTAACATTATATTTGTATAATTTATCCATATTGTTACTCATAGCAATAGTTTGTTCATCTCATTGCTTATAATATTCCACTATATATACATATGCTATAATTCATCCATCCTACAATAGATGTTTAGTTATTTCTAATTTTGGACTATTATGAATAGTACTTCTATGAATATTCATGTACATTACTTTTGGTGAACATGAATGCACATTTCTGATGGGTAAATACCTAGGAAGAGAATTGAGGGTCATAAGAAATGTTTTATTAGATACTGCTGCACAGTTTTCCAAAATGGTTGTTTCCCTTTCCCTACTGCCAACAGTGTAAGAGAGTTCCAATTGCTTCACAGCCTTGAAAGACATATATTGTCCTTTCAAATTTAGCCTTTCTGGTGGGTGTGTAGTGGCATCTCATTGTGGTTATAATTTGCATATCCCTGATGATTAAAGCGGTTGAGCATCTTTTCTTATGGTTATTGGCCATTTAAATATCCAGAGCTGCTTTTTTTTTTTAATTTGTAGAATTTTTATATATCTTGGGTGTTTTGTGTCTACAAATATCTCCTACTATGGCACTTTTAAGATCAAGTAAATGTTGAAGTCAGTTTGTCTGTTTAAGTTTTACAGAGAATGGGTGAAATAGTAGTGAAATTCTTTTGTGGATTTAAGTAAAATATCATTGGCCTTTAATTTTTCTGTGGTGAGATTTGCCCTTTGGCTCCATTCCAAGAAGTTAAAGTACATACTATTACCATTTCTTTAAAGAATGTTTTTTAATATAGTTTCACACTTACTGAAAATTTGCTTATATAGTTGAAAGAATTCCCATATGTCAAATCTCTAATTGTTAACAGTTCCACTTTCTGTATTCTGTAGATTTATGCTCTATTACATATTTCTTCTGAAATACTAGAGTATTTGTACATATTATGCCCCTTTATCCATAAGTACCTTGAGTATATATTTCCTAAGAACAAGGGTTTTCTTTTCCAATCCACAACTTAATCAAAAATATAAGAATTTTAATTGATAAAATACTATTACCTAATCACAGCCTATACCCAAATTTCACCAGTTGTCCCAGTAACAGCCTTTATAACTTTACTCTTCCCTGGTCAGGGATCCAGTCCAGAATCACACATTGGATTTAGTGGGTATCAGCCTTTTTTTGTCCTTCATGACCTAGATGTTTTAAATTTTTCTGTAGAATGGCCTTCCATTTATGTGTGTCTGATGTTTCTTCATGTTTAGGTTCAGGTAATGCAAATATGTCAGGAATATCATCCAAGTAATATAGTGATGACTTTGGGGAATTCCATGAGGAGCCTTATGATGTCTCTTTATCCCATTAACTGTTGATAACTTTGATTACTTTGTTAACCCATTATAAAGTTACTATTTTTCCTTTTGTAATTAAAAACTAATTTATGGAGAGATACTTTGAGACTCTCTAAATACCTTATTTCATCCCAAACATTTACTCACTACTTTTAGCATCCTCCTTTTTGTTTGTTTTTAAAAATTAAACTACAGTTTTTCTTCCCTTTCATTTTATTTAACCCTTCAGATAGAATGTTTTCTCAAAATTACTTTTGAAATGTTAAGACGATTTTTGGAAATTTTATTGTGATCAGTGAGAAATCATTAAAAACGGGTATATGTGGCAGTGATGCTTCATTTTAACCAGATTTTATTTGGAGTCAATTAAAGACTCTTTTTAAAACTTAAAACATAGAAATCAGTAAGTTTGGATTTGAATACTGTTTATTGTAAGAGATTGAACTTTCTGAAATTTAGTTGTAATTACAGCCATCTGCTGTTCCTAAAAGTGCTGAATTTTCAGTTGTTTTCACTGAGTATTGTCAGTAGACCATAGGACAAAGTATGCCTTCTGTAACTTGATTGTTGTACCAGATAGAATAATATATTTACTTGTAACTGCCGTAAATCAATAATGAGATTGAGGTTCTTGGAGAACTTACATATGCTTGAGGAAAATATTTTGTAAATCACAAATTAAAATATTTTTTTGTTTTTATATTGCAGATTGGTTTTTCAGCAGCAGATGCAGTAACAGGACTGAAATTGGTAGAAGAGGGAGTACCCAAAGAACATTTAGCCTTACTGGCAGTTCCAATGGTTCCTTTGCAGATAATATTGCCTCTGATTATCAGCAAATACACTGCAGGTCCCCAGCCACTAAACATATTTTACAAAGCCATGCCCTACAGGTAAAAATGAAATAAAACCTTACTAAATAAGAAAGGTTAAATGAGGAACATTCATCAGTATCACTAATAACTGTGTAAAGTATATATGGAAAAAGACTTGAAAAGCATCTTTAACTTCAGTATCATTTATATGCACTTTTATCTCTTTTTAACCTCCTAATAGGTTTTAAATAACAGGCTACGTTCACATAGTAGGCATACAGATTTCCGGTTTTGTTGTTATTTTTTAACCTAAAATGGACGTCAACTCCATGTTTCTTTCTTTTTCTATAGATTATTGCTTGGATTAGAATATGCTCTACTAGTTTGGTGGACTCCCAAAGTAGAACATCAAGGAGGATTCCCTATATATTACTATATTATAGTGCTGCTGAGTTATGCGTTACATCAGGTAAGCTTGCTGTGGTTTTCTCAGAAGTAAACTTTTATTTTTGGAAAATAAAAAAGACATTTTTCTACAGTTGCCTTGAAATAATGATAATAAATTTTAAGACTTAAGCATGAGTCTGATACTGAAGAAATTATTTGACAATGAACTTTAAACATTGTGGCTTTTGATTTATTGAGCTCTATTCATAGTTTCTTCATTTCATTTATTTCGTTCATTCAACCAGTATTTGTTATATACAGAATTAATTCCAAAGCTTGTAATTCTACCCTTCCTAAGTATTCCTCAGTCCATCCCTAGACTTGAGTTCTTTATTTCTTCTATTCCCGATGCCTTTTCTTTCTGAAAGTCTTGAGAAATAATGATGGCTCCTGGGCGACAGATCCCAGGTTTTTGGTTTCCATTCTGTACTGAAAGTTAAGACTTACTCTTTGTGATTTTGAAAATTGTGTCTTAATCTGCCTTCTCTTTCTTTATTAGCTTTGTTTGTAATCCCTAGCCTCACCTAAGCTGCTGTTGCAGAATGGGGTTGTGTTCTGGGGGCAAGTGATTCAAGTAAACTTGTAGACACCCAGCAGTAAAATTTGGGACTTGAGTGCAGTTATTACAAATGTGTATCTAAGAGTCACTTTGGATTTTTCTATGGAACCTAGTTTAAACTCTTTGCAAGTTATAATTACAAACTCCTCACTTGTTTTTAACTGAAACCTAAAAATGTGGCTACCAAGTAATCTCAATAATTTTTTACATATAGTTATATCATTTGGGAGAACTCCATAATGGATCTGTCCAACTAACTGTATATTTAAAGAAGTGCTTTAACTTAATAAATGTTTCATTATCTGTGTAAGTAAAAGAAAACTACAGTGTAGTAGTCCAAAAATCTTTGTTTGGCTTTGGATTTGATTAGAAAATTTTCTAAAGTGTAGCCGTTGACGCTCAGACAGCCAGATGCTTTCTGGGAAAAACTGTACAAGGCCAAGTAAATTTGAGAAATGATACCTGACATAACCCTTCTTTATGTAGCATCTTAGTCATCAACAAATACTAATTGGACACCTATTCCATGCCAGAAACCATTCTAAGTGCTAAAATATAACTGAATAAATCATGCCAAAATCCCTGTCCTTAAGGAGTTTATATCCTAAAGGCTTTCAGAGGCCTACAGTGAAAGGGACCTGTTTATTTTTTTGTGTAACTTAGTGTTTCTCAATCTTTTTTGACTCTGGAATACCCTTTTCTTTCTTTCTTTCTTTTTTTTTTTTTAAGATTTTATTTATTTGTTTGACAGAGAGACACAGCGAGAGAGGGAACACAAGCAGGGGGAGCAGGAGAGGGAGAAGCAGGCTTCCTGCTGAGCAGGGAGCCTGATGTGGGACTCAATCCCAGGACCCTGGGATCATGACCTGAGCCGAAGGCAGACGCTTAACGACTGAGCTACCCAGGCGCCCCTGCAATACCTTTTCCTATGAACGCCCCATGGAACAGTATTCAAAGGAAAGCGATTTGGGAAACATGGTTTGTTTCCATGTTTCTAAATGGAGGGTTAATTCTTGCCTCTTAAGTACTTTTTGCCTCTTAAGGAGATTTTTCTGTTCAGTTTGTCTCATAAGTTTTGAAATGTTATCATTCTTTATATGTAAAAGAAAAAATACATATATATTCATTCACATATATACTTATATATACACACACAGGATGTATTTGGGGACAATACAAATATGGGGTTTTAGTAATTGCTTGTATGCATCCTTCAATGCCACCCTGTTTGTCATTTTCTCTATGGAGCTTTCCTTGACTACTTACTGTAGAATTAATCTCTCATTTATTTAGATTCCAGTAGCATAATGTGTGTACTTCTACTTTCAATACTTACTGCATTTCATCGTAATTATTTATTCCTTGTTTTCCCAGCCTAGAATAAGTTCTTCAAGGATACAGAGAGACTGTGTCTTTTTTTTTTTTAGGATTTTATTTATTTATTTGACAGACACAGCGAGAGAGGGAACACAAGCAGGGGGAGTGGGAGAGGGAGAAGCAGGCTTCCCGTGGAGCAGGGAGCCCAGTGTGGGACTCTGTCCCAGGACCCTGGGATCATGACCTGAGCGGAAGGCAGACGCTTAACAACTGAGCCACCCAGGTGCCCCGAGACTGTGTCTTATTCATCTTTTTATTGCCATGATCTGGCCTGGCCTATAATAGGTGCTCAATATATCTTTGTTGACTTGAGTTTAATAAGGGTCATGAAAATTAATTTTCAGATTTATGATTTTGACTTTTTAATTCAGACTCTTTTTTATAAGATCTAATTATGGTAAAGTTGTTTTATATTTTCCTTGTAGGTTACATTGTACAGCATGTATGTTTCCATAATGGCTTTCAATGCAAAGGTTAGTGATCCACTTATTGGAGGAACATATATGACCCTTTTAAATACTGTGTCCAATCTGGGAGGAAACTGGCCTTCTACAGTAGCTCTTTGGCTAGTAGATCCCCTCACAGTGAAAGAGTGTGTAGGAGCATCAAACCAGAATTGTCGAACGCCTGATGCTGTTGAGGTAAGTATGTTGTAATTTTATTTATTTTTATTTTTTTTTAAAGATTCCACCTATTTATTTGGGAGAGAGAGAGCTCGAGCAGGGTGGGGGCAGAGGGAGAAGCAGAGCAGGGAGCCCACCGTGGGGCTCGATCCCGGGATCATGACCCCAGCCAAAGGCAGTCGCCCAACCAACTGAGCCACCCAGGTGCCCCAGTAGGTTGTAATTTTAGATAACATTAAGCTAGTATTAAGATATCAATTTTCAGGGATGCCTGGGTGGCTCAGTTGGTTAAGCATCTGCCTTCAGCTCAGGGCATGTTCCCAGGGCCCTGGGATCGAGTCCCACATCAGGCTCTTTGCTTAGCGGGGAGCCTGCTTCTCCCTCTGCCTGCCGCTGCCCCTGCTTGTGCTATCTCTCTCTTTCTCTGACAAATAAATAAAATCTTAAAAAAAAAAGATGCTAATTTTCAGGGGAACCTGGCTGGGTCAGTCTGTGGAGCATGCCACTCTTGATCTTGGGGTTGTATGTTTGAGACCCACATTGGGTGTGGAAATTACTTAAAAAAATAAAATCTTAAAAAAAAAAGATTAATTTTCTTATTTTGCCTCTAGAAGTACTGTATCTTTTTAAAAAATCATATCTGCCCATAGTTTCTTCTTTTTTTTTTTTTTTAAGATTTTATTTATTTCACAGAGAGCACAAGCAGGGGGAGCAGGAGAGGGAGAAGCAGGCTTCCCACTGAGCAGGGAGCCCGATGCGGGGCTCCATCCCAGGCCCCTGGGATCATGACCTGAGCTGAAGGCAGACACTTCACCGACTGAGCCACCCAGGTGCCCCCTATAGTTTCTAGTGTAGAAATCTGTTTGTTTGTTTTTTTTTCCTGTCAGAACTGAGGGTTGTAACACTTAAATCAGTAAGAGTAGCTCACTTGAAGATGCTTCTCAGCAGGGGAAGAGCAGTCTCTCTCCCCTTTACCTTGAGGATCCTATACAGTAGGCACCTAACAAGTGCATAATTAACAGCTAAGTTTTATAATGATAAAAAAGGGAAATTCCATTGACTATTTATATAACAATTGTAGCTAAACCTGAATGGTTAGCAGTCTATTGTTAAATTATTTCAAATTAACATTAGCCCACTTCTAGAGTAGATTCATTGGAAATTTCTACACATTTCCCAAATATGAAAAGCTATATCTTCTCTTTCTTTTTTTTTTTTTTTAAGATTTTATTTATTTATTTGACAGAGGGAGACACAGTAAGAGAGGGAACACAAGCGGGGGAATGGGAGAGGGAGAAGCAGGCTTCCCGTAGAGCAGGGAGCCCATTGTGGGGACTCGATCCCAGGACCCTGGGATCATGACCTGAGCTGAAGGCAGACGCTCAACGACTGAGCCACTCAGGCGCCCCTAAAAGCAATATATTCAAAATGGAAAATGAGTATTGTTTACAGCAAGAGCTGAAAAATATTTTTAATCCTTCTAGTAGCATTAGAGAGATTAAGACATATTCTCATATTTCACCATTTGAAATGAACAAAATGATGAAATGATTTAACAAAAATATATTTTGAAGGGAGCCTGGTTGGTTCAGTTGGTAATCCCTATGACGCTTGATCTCTTGGTCTCTGGGTTATGAGTTCAACACCCATGCTGGATTACTTAAAAAAAAAAATAATAATAATAATAAAAATACCTTCCAAAAATATTTTTTTATTAATCCCTTAAATTAAAAGTAAAAACATCTAAATTGCTGAATATTTCCATTTTGAAATTGTGAAATATGTATTCTAATTTTACTTTTACAGCTTTGCAAAAAACTTGGTGGCTCATGTGTTACAGCGCTGGATGGTTATTATGTAGAATCCATCATTTGTGTTTTTATTGGATTTGGTTGGTGGTTCTTTCTTGGTCCAAAATTGAAAAAATTACAGGATGAAGGACCATCTTCATGGAAGTGCAAAAGAAGCAACTAATGCATTCACTACTGGACATTCTAGGAAGGTAACTGTAGTTTCATTTTAATTCAGACAGCTATGATAATCAGTGCACAGGAGTATAAAATAATATTTTAAACAAGGAAATTATTAATATAAAATGCCAAATGATTAAAAAATAGAGACTCTCTGTATAGTTGATTATATTTTCCTTGCCTTGTTAATGTATTTGAAGTTTACTTAAGGTCAGGAAATTGATTCTTAAAACAAGTTTTCTGGCCTTGTTATTTGATTTATATCTTTTTAATTTACTGACCAAAGTATGTTTTAACCTGCAGTGTAGTAGTCATGGGCAGTAACCATGCAGTCAAGTATTGTTATCAGTACCTATCATTGAACTGTATTTAAAATTTTAGTACAGTATATTAAGTGGAACAGAGCTTGATATTCAGGTGCTAATTACAACTAGTCTGGCCTTGTTGGCAGTTAAATCTTATTTTGAATTGCAAATTGGTTAAATTCTATGTGGAATTTGCTGAGAAAAGAATGCAGACTACTGAAATGCCATTTTAGTTGTTATTTTTCTGACCATAACCACATTGTACTAATGAATCTGTGTTAAAAAGACTATTTTAAATGTATTTCCTGCTTTTGTAAGCATTAAAGATTTATAAGAAGATTATTCTAACTATTTTTTATAAAATGAAAGCTACGATTTTTAGTTTAATGATTCCCCTGTCCCCCTTTTTTGGAAGATATTATGATTCCTTGTTAACTTTTACCCTAAAACTTACATATGTTTTTTGTCATAAGTGCTTCATGGCATACAGACAGCTCATGAAGGGATCTAATTTAGTGTTGTATGTATGTTTATGGCAAAGTTTTGAAAATAAAAAATGTTTTTCTTCAAGCAGTTTTTTTTATTACTGAGAGAAAAAAACAGTAAAGCTTTTCGATTAAATAAAATCTAAATGATTAATACCGTAATTTTAAAGACTATTGCTGAGAGAGAGAGACAAAGACATTTTGTGCCTTTGACAAGTTAAATTATGTTGTGGAAGAATGTTTCTTAATTAAGCACTTTACTAGTGAGAAAAGATCTCACAGTTACTTTATGTGAAATCAGGTACTGTATTTCCACTTATTAAAACACAACCTTCTGTTTGTAAACTGAAATGTCTGGTAGAGGATTGATATCCCAGGAAAATTAAGCTTTTGAATACATTAGCAATTCTCAACATATGTACACCCAGTGATAAGGTTCTTTGCGTATTTTGTGTTGTGTATTACTCTGACTCTTTAGCAATTATGTAAATCCTTCCAAAGTTATAGAAAAAGAAAGATTAAGTTGAGTCTGACTTAATTTTATCCTTGTGGGAAAACATATACTAATTTTTTATTTTGTTAATTTTATAACATGGGTTGAATTTTAGAGTGGGGTTTTATATAAGTAATGGAGGATAAAATGGGTGGGAGAAAATGGCACTCAGCATCTGAAGATAGAGGCAGTTCTCTAGAACTCATGCATTGCCATTAGAAAGCCTGTGTTGGGCATCGATGTCAGATTCTGAAGAATCACCTGGAAAATCATCCTAGAAACAAGGAAGCTACACCAAACCATACTCGACCATACTTTGTCACATGGGTTGTCCATTATCTTGTATTATAATCAAAATGCTTACTTGAATAAAGAAAAGAACCCACTTACTCTCATATGTGAAATGTATTTTGCTTTTTAAATTTTGGATTAAGAAGGTGACATTGCCATAATTACCTTTTGTTTCTTACCAATTCATATTAAAAATTCACATACTTTCAAACATACTTTGAAGTCAACAAATCTTTAATGACTTGAAGTATTAAAATATATTGTAAGCCTTTAACTATAAGGTAAAAGCCATTATTAATTGCATTTGCTCTAGGAATGAACATTTATTTTGAATTATAGTCCTTTGGTTATTTGGGTACATGTTTGTAACACATACCAAAAATGACTTCTTGATAGCTATGTGCAACTATATTGCATACATTGATTACTGATGGCATCTTACAAATGATCTACCTGAATCTGAGGATCTGTTCATGGTATATCAGTAGTACTAGAAAATACTACCTTTTTTGCATATGTTTTTCTTCACTGATAGATCCTGATAAACTCTACCCTCAAGTATGAACGTTAACTCCTCCAGTTAATGTATTATACATTTACTAGCTAATATTCTTATAAATCTTAACAATCTTATAAGATTAGCTAAGACTAAAACCAAAAATTCCTTCCTTTGTAAATATTTTAATTTTGCCTGGTCAATCGTAAAAAAAATTTGTTCAATACCTAAAATAGATTCCTCTATTTTTTTAATATTAAACCTTTGAGATACAAATCTGTTGTTTGATTTCATCTCTTTATTACAAGGATTTTTATCCTAAACAGGTGTCAGTGGGGCCTTGAAACCCCTGAATTGCTAGCAAAACTGGACATGTAATTATTTGTCTTTCTGGAGAGAGTGCTTGTTAAAATTGTAAATGGTCTGTGATCCAAAAAAGTGTAAAAGCCATAACCTTATTGAATGTGGGCTATGAATTGTAAACATAAATTTGAAATAATAGTTGTGAAACTAATTGTTTAAAGCATCCTAAAAACAATGTTAAAAGAAAAATCTTATGATGAAAACTGGAAAATGTCTGCATTTGTAGTAGTGAACTTGAACCTTGAACAGATTAGAGCAGGTAAGACATTACTGGTAGGGGAGAGTTATAAGGGTGAATTCTGTCCCAAAAAAGAAATATCTTATTTAGTTTTTTTTCCTATTAATAATTTCTGTTTTGCCCTGTTAACAGAAACCCAAAAAAGTATGTTGTTTTATATTAAATGGTTGAACTCATTATTTAATATAACAGAAGACCAGGCTTGTTTTTATATTTTGGGGGATCATCTTTTTTCTTGTGGTTGAAAGAATGAATAAAACTGTATGACACAGACCCTGCTAAAACTAAAGAACCAATTTGTTGGGGACATTCCATGCAGATTTCCAAAATGTATTTTACCTTAGTATTAGAGAAAGAAAATAAGTTTTAAGAAATGATTCCATTGTAGCTAGGATTAATATATTTAATAGCCATTTTCATTACAGGAGGAAAGGTGACAATAGTGCGTTGTACTACTGAGACTTCTTTTAACCAATGTCTTTGGTAGATGGCAAGGCATAATTAATTGATTTTTCTCTTAGCAGATTTAAAATACCTATTGTAGACCTTGTTTCTTTTTCCACTACAGCTTAATCTCTGCCTGATTTGACAGTGCCAAATTTTTAATGTAATTGCTATTTAATTTGGGACTGGGAGCCTTTTCATTTCCTACCTGTCAAAACTGTTATTAGAATCTTTGTTTTACTCCTTTAAATTGTTGGCAAGGTAAATGGGCATGGAAAACTTTTATTTTTTCCTGGAATTCTGTTTTGGTAGAGGAAAGTCCTGTATCAGGATGGAATAGTTAATGTGCAGGGCTCATGCCCTCTCCTTAAGTGAATAGAAACATTTTTTTATTTATCAGATTATAAATATTGCTTTTAAGGAGGGTTTTTTATGAGTGGCAGATATTTTATAGGAGGAAATAGTTTTATCTAGCAAATTGAAAATTTTATGATTAATTATAATTTCTCTTTTAAAGAATTTGTCAAGTATATAATTTAAAAGATACTAAAACATCAGCAATATTTGCATAGTTTATATGAAGTCTCGAAGCATTGAGAAAAGGTTGCTACATTTTAATAGTTTTTTATTGGCAATATATAGAAATAACTTTATAACAGTTTTGTGTGAAGAGTAACAAATAGCATGATTGAAATGAACAAGGTACTGGTATAATCCTTAGGAAATTATAAATCTCTCAGATCTAGTACTCTAGCCAATTACAATTAATCAGTCACTATTATAAAATATAAAAATTAAAGCCTATCCCTATTTTCACCAAAATGACCTTATTTGTTGGAAAAAGTTTACTTTTTATAGCCTTATAGTTAATGAAAGTGAAATTTTTATCACATGCATCTATAAAATTAGGAAAATATAAAATCAGGGCAAAAATCTGATGTTTTAAAAAGTTTGACATATTTGGTAAATTGATAGATTACCACTGTCAAGTTATATCAATGAATCTAGATCCTGTTGTCCTAAGAGATTGCTTTATGTAAGAATTAGTGTAAAATTGAAAAAATACACAGTGTTAAAAGTTGTCGTTGTTGGGGTCTTTATGAAATCACTGCATCCATGTACAGTTTTGAATTAAAAATGCACAACACAAAATAATTTCTATTATCATTTTTGAAAGACCTAACATTAGCTTTGATAGTTTAGCATTATTTAAGTGTTTTAGTATATGTGAAATGTTTATTTGGTTAATTTATTTTCAAATGTTAATAATATTAAATATTTATGCAATGTTTAAATATTTGGAGTATATTTGAAATAAATTCTCCAGATTTTTGCATAAAGGATTATTTAAGTGCTCAAAATGATTGCTTCACAATTGATCTCTAAAAAATAAAATATTAACAAAATATACTTGTTTTCATGTTTATTAAGTACTAGCCAAATTTACCTGCAAATGATTCATGTTAAAATTATACTAGATTGACATTATATAATTAAAAGCAAGGTAATTTCAAGAGGTGTACACCTACCACCAAACCGTTTTGTATTGTTTTTTAATGAAGCCAGCCTGAATCATTGTATCTTCCATTAGTAACCTGGGTAAAAGGGAGAATAGATGGAGGCATAGCACTGTATGGATAGTTTGGGATTATAAAGAATTTCACTGGGAAACTATTATAAAATCATTTTTTTAAGATTTTATTTACTTGAGAGAGAGAGAGAACATGAGCAGGGGAGAGGGGCAGAGGGAGAGGGAGAAGTAGACTCCCTGCTGAGCAGGGAGCTAATGTCTGGCTCGATCCCAGGACCCTGGGACTGTGACCTGAGCTGAAGGCAGATGCTTAACCGATTGGGCCACCCAGGCGCCCCAAAATCTCTTATTTTTTAAACATTTGTTATTGGATATAGGCTTCTTTAATAGTTACAATTTTAAAGAATTTATTTAAATTAAAAGACAGTTTGGGATTATAGAGAAAATATTGTTTCTCCACAGTTAGAACTTTCTGAGCAAATTTTACTAAAACTTGGGACCTGTGCTGAAAGAGAAGCCTTTGAAGCTAAGTTGTAACTGAATAGAGAGAAACCAGAGTGTATTAGTCTACGAGGGCCATCATAACAAAATACTACAGACTAGGTGGCTTGGACAGCCGAAATTTATTTTCTCACAGTTCTGGAGGATGGAAATTCCAAGATCAAGGTGGCAACAGGTTCGGTTTCTCCCAAGGCCCATCTCCTTGGTTTAGAGACTGCCACTTTCTGTCTTTACCTGAACCTCCTCTGTGCACACACATTCCTGGTGTCTCTTCCTCTTATAAGGACACCAGTCCTACTGGATTAGGGCTCCACCCTTATTACTTTATTTAACCTTAATTACCTCTATAAAGGCCCTGGCTCCGAATATTATCACATTGTGGGTTAGGGCTTCAACATACGAATTTGGGAGGAACACAATTTAGTCAATAATACAAGAGATATTTACTCCTCTGATATGCACATTTCAAGGGAGATGAGACTTGGGAACATGGATACATCTATGGGTTATAAATCTGGAGACATGTCTTGTTTTTCCCCTGAAGACATATTTACATTCCAAAGGGTAAAAACCCAGGATCCTTCCTAAGGAGAACCTGTTTATATTAAGGACATAAGGTTTCTCTTCCAGGTGCCTGGGTGGCTCAGTCTGTTAAGCGTCTGCCTTTGGCTCAGATCATGATCCCAGGGTCCTGGGATCGAGCCCCGCATGGGGCTACCTGCTCAGCGTGGAGCCTGCTTCTCCCTCTCCCACTCCCCCTGCTTGTGCTCTGTCAAATAAATAAATAAAATCTTTAAAAAAAAAAATTTCTCTTCCTTTCTCTGGGAGAGAGGAGGACTTCCATATAGCTGTCCTATATAGTTCCCAGATTCATATTTTAAGGCTCCTCACCTACAGTACAAACCCTAGAATATATAGTCTCATCGGTCTGATAAGCTGTTATCAATCTGGTTCTCATTGGTTACCACACAGGTGAGAATTGGTGTGTGGGGAACCAGTGTGGTTATTTTAAATAGTAATTAAATCTATTCCTGCTTCAGAAATGTCATGTGTACTTCCAGTACAATGTGAATAAATTATAATAGTCATGTTTTATCTGATGTTTCTTGAATTGTGTTCATTTTTCTGGTTCTATTATGGTCAGAAGCCTAGAATAATGAAAGTCTGAGTGTTATTTTTTAAGTTTTATCTTTATTCTGTTTTTTTTACCCTATTGGCTATTCTTTATTTCTATCTTTTTATTATTTTTAAAACATTTTTTAAAGATTTATTCATTCATTAGAGAGAGCAAGCGTGAGCATGGTGGGAGGGGCAGAGGCAGAGGGAGAGAGAATCCCAGGCAGACTCCCTGCTGATCATGACCCAAGACTCTGAGATCATGACCTTAGCCGAAATCAAGAGTCTGACACTTAACTGACTGAGGCACCCAGGTGCCCGTTTAATTTTTTTTTTAAGATTTTATTTACTTATTTGAGAAAGAAAGAATGAGACAGAGAGAGCATGAGAGGGGGGAGGGTCAGAGGGAGAAGCAGA